TCTGTTATTGTCTCCTCCCCCCTCCCCCCCACTGAGTAATGTGCCTACCCTGCCTTTGGTCTTCCTCTTGCTTCTAATGTATTCGTAGAATGTTTTCTTGTTAGCCTTTATGTCTCTAGCTAGTATAATTTCATTCTGTGGCTTGGCCTTTCTACTTTTGTCCCTACATGCTTACATTGTTTTTTTCCCATATTCATTCTTCATAATTTGACCTAGTTTCCACTTTTTGAAGGACCTGTTTTTGAGTTTCAAATTATTGAAAATCTCCTTGTTAAGCCAGGAGGCTCTCTCACCATACTTCCTATCTTCCCTATGGAGTGGGATAGTTTGCTCGTGTGTCAGTAATAATGTCTCTTTGAAAAACTGCCAAACTTTCTCCAACTGCTTTTCCCCTTTTACTTGTTTCCCATGGGATCTGACCTACCAAATCCCTGAGTTTGTTAAAGTCTGCCTTCTTGAAATATGTTATCTTTGTTGTGCTGTTTTCCCTCCTACCAGTCCTTAGAATCATGAACTCTACCGTTTCATGATCACTTTAACCCAAGCTGCCTAGAATCACAGAAGTGTAGGACTGGAAGGGATTACTGATAGAATACTCTCTCTATTATCACAACCAAGAAATGGCAAGTTAGGCACTAGCCTCAATGGCAACCCAGTTTTACCTTCTTACAGCAAGTGTTTTGAGCTGTTTAGGACTCAGGGTCAGTGTTCTCTCAAGTGCCAGTTTTAATTTGCAAAAAGTGTACTGTACTTAAAATTCATTTCTCAACAGTACATGAAGAAATGCTCACTATAGTCTATAAGACTGCTCTGCTGAGCACAATGGGTAAACTGTTCATTTAATGAAAAAACAAACAGTGTATATTTTCTATATTTCTTACTACAATATATTTATTCTGGAAAATTGAAATCAATCATGTCCAGAAACAATCTGACATTTGACTGAGAAGTATTACAGAGCAGTATCTCATTTATAACATCCACCAGGCTGTGAGCAAATGTAGTGTAAAATGAGCTTCCAGACAAAAGTGGTATATCAAAGAAAGTTTCTCAATTCAGGATAGACTGCAATAGCCCAAAGACTTAAGTGAAACTATAAATTTAAACGCTAAATTTATCTCTCTAAAATTCAGAGATTAAATCCCTGTCTACACTAGATATCAAAATGCTTAACTGATTTTTTTCTTAAATAAAATTTAAACATGGTTCATGCCAATAGTGTAATAGCAAACTACTTATGCCTGATCTATACTGGTTAGTTAAAAAGGGGTTTAGGAACACTGTTATATTGATATGGACAGCGTAGATCTCTTCCCTTCGATCAGCCACAAGTTAAAGAAAAAAAATGAGAGATCTTCAGCCTGCCATTCTGAACTGTCCAACTTCTCACCGAGACGTTCACTGAACTGTCCTCAGGTGAGTAGGCTGCTTGTCTCTAACAAACTCAGCTCCTATTTATTAAAGGCAAAATAAATCTCACTCAAAGTGCAGGGGAGAGGGAAAAGAGACTCCACACTGAACATCCACTAGTCATCTTCCTCTCCAAATGTGGAAGACTGCTAGCATATGCAATATGAGGAGAAAGCCAACATGAAGAGTTAAGTTCTCTTCACTCAATTTCTCCTTTGTTAAGGACTAATTTGACAATTTTAAAAATAGTTATTTTTACCTTTAAAATTAAGGTTCTGAAGTTCTGAGTTTTTGCAAATTATATTCTCTAGGGCAGTGGTCTCCAATCTTTTTATGCCCAAGATCACTTTTAAGGGCAACCTAGGATCTACTCCGCCTTTGCCCCTTCCCCGAGGCCTCTGCCCCTTCCTCAGAGCCCTGCCCTGCTCACTCCTCTCCCCTTTCCCCCCGCCACTCACTCTCTCCCACCCTCACTCACTTTCACCGGGCTGGGGTACAGGGTTGGGGTTCGGGTGCTGGCTCTGGGCTGGGGCCAAGGGGTTCACAGTGTAGGAGGGAGCTCTGGGTTGAGCCTGGGGCAGGGGTGCAGGAGGGGGTGAGGGGTGCAAGTTCCGGGAGGAAGCGTGGGTGCAGGAGGGGCTCCTGGCTGGGGCTAAGTGTTAGAGCCACAACCCTGTACCACCTCCTGCACCCCGAGAGGGGGGGTCAGGGCTGAGGCTTGGGGTATGGGGGGGGTTCCGGGTGCAGGAGGGGATATGGGGCTCTGGGAGGGGCTCAGGGCTGGTGCTTTCATGCAGGAGCAGCACGTGGAAGGAGACCCCTGACCTCCCACCCCTGGGGGCACACTGGCCGCTTCCAGGAGCGGCGTGGGACCCCTGCCCTAGCTGCAGCCCCACTGCACCACCAGAGATTGCGATCGACTGGGAAATCCTCTAGGATCGACCTGTCGATCACAATTGACCAGTTGGTGACCACTGCTCTAGGGAGAAAAATCCATTAAACTACTTTGGATTCTAAATATCCTTGCTGAATAGATGCTAGTATACCTGCTAAGAAAAGCAGTTTAATGGCTGGCTAATAAAGATAAAGGTCCTTCCTAGTGGGACAATTACAGCAAAAATTCAGAATCTATTTTACAAAAATTGTCAGAAATTCACATAAAACAGGAGTAAAAACCTCCTATAGCAAGAGCTACATTTAGGAAACTTTCCTTTAGAGGGGTCCACAAATTAAAAGCAAATATTTCCAACGGTCTACAGATTATAAAAATAGTAATTCAGCATAAGAGACGGAGAGAATTAAAAAGGCAGTAGTCTCCTTCATTTGGAAAGCACTTCACAAAAATTGTTTAGCAAGCACCATGAAACAATTAGTTTTCTTTAAAAACTTGTAACAGAGTACTGACTACAGTAATAAGAATAGAGTTTCATAGAAAGATAGTTGGAGGCCTTTTTCTAAGATTTTGAGTTACAATTTGAACGTGCCAGCAACTTGCTGATTCTAACCTCAACACATAGATTAAGATACATTGTGATAAAAGCTCCACCACATACGAAGGCCATAATCATTTCGTGCCTTAAAATATAATAAAACAAGTTAAAATGGAGTTGGATTGAGAGCCAAATGAAAGGATTTCCAGCAGCAATGTATTAAGTCAACTGAATAGCTTTAAAAATATAGGCTACTGCACCCTCAATATATAAAATTGGGAGTGCCTTTAAAAGCAGAATAATAGTAGGTAAGCCTTGAAAAATGAAAGCACTTTTTAGTGATGCCACGTTTGTTAAGGCAAATGTTTCAGGCTACCAGTAGTCTAGGGATGGCAGAAAGACGCTCTCACTACAAGACACAAATACACGTTTGATATCAATATAGTACCCAAACTTTTCAAATAAGGACATAGGGTCAAAGACATTGTTTTTAAAGATAAAAATAGTCAGGAGGTGCTTAGATACTTCCATGACTGAGACCATATATGGAAGACAGTGGAACAGAGGCACAGAAACTATGCAATATACGAGAGAGAGAGATCAAAGAAACACTAAGCTAGAAGCTCTGCTCACCATCACTACGAACCAACAAAAAGTTTATTTTTATAAGTTAAAACTTGAAATAGTTCAGCAACATCCATAATTAGGTGGTATGTTAGTGATTAAGAGTAGAAATTTCAGCATGATAATCTGATGGAAGTAAGACAGATATGGACTAAAGTGTCTGGCAAAATTCTAGACAGCCACTTGTAAAAGGCAATTTTCTCCCTCTCTGTAACTTGTTTGTAAAATACCTTCAAATTTTTTGCCCAATGGCAAGGATATGCAAAGAGATATTGTGCCTTGCCTGATAAGTATTTGTGATAATCTTTCAAGGCTACTATCTAACAAAATGCAGATTGTACATATTATGGAAGTGAGGAGTTGTCATCCAGACACAGGTAACTGAGGTACAGCAAGGTGATAATAGTCAATCCAAGCAAAAACAATATCCAAATGCTGAATAATGGTGATCCTGTTACAAGCATATTAGGGTGAGTAAATGTTGACTACTATTGGAAGGGCTTATCAAATAAAAATAAGTGATCAAAAACCTGTACCGTTCTCACCACAACTGTAAAGTTATACGCTTTAAAGTTACACTGTGGTATACTGTAACAATTAGGATTTGTTCTGTTTTCAATAATCAACACAGCAAGTCATTTCATATGTTAATAAACTACACAGACATAATAATCTTACACACCTTCTGATACATTAGTTCCACATAACCACTTTTCAGTGTGTGACTACTTTGAAGACACACACGAAGTGACATTAAAAGAGGTTTATTCAGTGTGTGAATACTTTGAAGACACACACAAAGTGACATTAAAAGAGGTTTATTCATGTTCTTTCAATGCCTTCCTGACCAAGTACATTCAGTTTACAAGATTTTTATAGCTTCAACCTTGGGAAACTTGTGTTGGGACCTAAAATACAGGCTGGTTCTTTCCTTTTATTAAGTTAATATCTTTATCAAAGGTTCTGGGGACCGAATTTCTTCCCTCAGTTCTATCTGTGTAACTTCACTGTCTTCAGGTTATGACCTCAGTGCAAGCTGAGCATATGTACATTTATGTTAATTTATAAAATTTATCTCCAGGCCAAGACAGATGGGATGATAGATGTCTGGTGGTCAACAATAAAAGTTTTATGTGCTATAATTCTGAACCACTGTATGCCCATCACAGACTACAGATGAAAGTTCTGCTTCCCCCTTGAGCCAATCAATTATGGAAGCACCTTAACAAAAGTTATGGCAAAGTTTAAGGATGATAATTTGCTCTGGCAGTTACACCATATGGACTCAGTGACCTAAATTGTCAAGAATGACTAGTGATTTTTGCATTCCCAATCACATGCCTTACAGGAGTCTGATTTTCAATGGCACTCAGAACTTCCTGGGGAAAAAAGGAAAAAAAAAAAAACACGTCAGGCCTTTTAGGATATTGCATCAGGCACCCAAAAATCAAGGCATCCAGAATCACTAATTACCCTTGAAAGTTTAGGCCAATATTACCTCATCATTTTTACATGTAGTATATGATGTCAAATTACCTCAAGAACAGTTCAAAATGTTTTACCAAAACTTTTAGATTTTTGTCAGGAAAGCACATCTTCCCCAGTATCTCTGGAAGTTTAACTGTAAATAAACAGAGAAACAAACAAAAACACTTAGTCTACAGTTTAATTGCTTTTACTCAATATTTGACTTAATACTCATAGAAGAGGCATATAAAAATCTTTCCCCGAACAGCTTCTCTTCTCTTTATAAAGTATTTATAATCACCACCACCACCAAGCACTTAATGTCCATTAGAAATAGAATGAGGAAGTTAATACTGTTACTTCGGTTTCTTGACATGCACTGGATATCTCTCTCGATATATAACTGCTACAGAGCCAGCAAAGTGAGCTCAGAACTCTGTCTGTGGCTTCAGCACCCAAGAGGCAGATTGTAAATGCTCATCTAAAGAACACTCTTTTCAAAATGTGTTTAAAATCTAATGCACATTTTTCAAAATATTTTACTGCAACTAGACAACTGCGTTAAACATAAAAATTTCCATTTTGCAATGCTGTGATACCAATTTGAGGTACACAGAGTTTTTTTAAATGGCTGTTCTGTAAGTGCACCTGGAACCTAATAGTTTTAAATTATGAGCCAAATTTACCTGAGGCCACTATTGGAAAAAAATTAAAACACGAATATAAAACCATTAATTTAGATGTACAGCATACAAGATTGTGTTTCATAAAACAAGAGTTATGTTTTACCAAACATCCGTAGCAAATGCTGAGATCCATAGATGTAAGAAGGAGGAGGTGGCTGATCGCTTTGGGGATAGTTCTCTGGCATCAGTTTCCAAGACAACACCTAAATACAACATTCTGGTTAGAAAAATATATGAAAGTATGATCAAGAATAGTATAGCTTTTAGCCTGACTTAATTCACACAGAGATCTGGATTAGAGGACAATCAGATTTTTAAAAATATTTTCTTACATTCCGCCTTTTATTTAACTTCCTTGTTTGATATTAAAAAGGCTGTTTAACACCATTCAAAGCTTCGCTGTACACAGTACAATACTGTGTTAAACACAGAGTCTGTGCCTCCTAAATGCAAATGCACTCCTGTCAATTAGCCTATCCAACCAATGCCAGCACAGTTCTATGAATAAGCATTTTGTTATATAACTAGTCCTTCAGAATTAACAGCGGAAACACAGAATACTGTTTTTTCATCAGAACCTGGGGGGGGGGGGGAAAAGAGTACAGTAGCTTCATTTTTCCCAGTCACACTAATTTCTCAGAGTAGTAATTTTAAACTAAGTATTTTGCTTAAAGGTTTTACTGTGTTTATACACAAACATTTCAAAGTGCCTTCATTTTTAAAATAAGTGTTGGACAGACAAAAAAGCCATTTGGCCACAGAACGGAAAAGAAGTCTTCACGGTGATGGGTGGACTGGAAATGAAGCATATAAACCAATAAGTAATGAAATTACTATTTTACTCTGAACTATAGAGATGCTACTGCCCTTCTTAAAAAAAAAAAAGTGTTGCATTTTACAGGGTCCTAAGTTTTTCCACATAAATCTAACATCAGTTTGGAGCACCACTTGTGGAGATGACTCTTCAGTATAGCTGTTACCTCATTCAATTCGTTATTTCTTCTACCTTCAAAGCCAGCAAATACTGCACTCCCTTCTTTGCTAGGGGTCAGAGTGATAGGTGACGACGACCCACTATGGACCGGCGTTTCTTCAAAAAGTACACAGAAAAATACTTTACACAAAGATCCATTAAACGTGGCGTTTATTTCATTCAGCTAGAAAGGTCAGTTTTCTTATGCAGCTATTAAACAGAGTCAAAGCCTGCTGCTAAAACCTTTAAAACTTTAAACACAGGAACAAACTGAATATCCAACGTACCTGTCACGAGTTTATCAAATCTGCCCACAAAAACAAAAAAACACCATTGCCCCTTTAGTTCTGACCTGCACCAATCGTAAAGTCTGCAGCTTTTGTGTAAAGTTATCAAGGGGGAGGGCAAGTGGGGTTTAAGCGAGAGGATTTCTTGGGCTTGGTTCAATCCCCCAGTCCACCCATTGGCTTTTCAGCCCTCAGCCCTGAAACACTCTTGCAATACTTTAGAAGAGGGTCACTGCTAGAAAAACAAATTACTTTGTAAAACTGATATTGGAGAGTTGTGAAAGCATTGTATCCAAATAAATTTCCAGATCAAATTTGTTCAGGTTTACACGTGTTTTCTAACGGACAGCACTGCAAATTCAATTGAGATGTTAAAGTCCAGATGTCTTCTTTCTGGTTCATACATTATCACTGCTAAAAGACTAAAAAGCTGTCTTTAGTTGCCTTTACTGGAGAGGCAGTGGTCTAACAGGAGAAATAATTCGAAGACAACTGCTTTTGCACAGATCATCCTACCACGGGAACTATTAACAATTCTGGTTATGTATGAACCAGAAAAGTATCCAGTTCACTCCTGCAGCTGTGTTGATTCACCAGGGATAAAAATAAAGTATGCCTATATGTAGGGCCCTACCAAATTCATGGTCCATTTTGGTCAATTTCAGTGTCATAGGATTTTTTAAAATAGTAAATTTCATGATTTCAGCTATATAAATCTGAAATTTCATGGTGTTCTAATCATAGGGGTCTGGACCCAAAAGGAGTTGTCGGGAGGGTGGGGGTTTGCAAGTTTATTGGTTGGGGAGGGGGGGGTGCGGTACTGCTACCCTTACTTCTGCACTGCTGCAGTTGGCGGCGCTGCCTTCAGAACTGGGTGGCCAAAGAGCAGCGACTGCTTGACAGGAGCCCTGCTCTGAAGGCAGTCCGCCACCAGCAGCAGCACAGAAGTAAGGATGGCATGGTATTGTATTGCCACCCTTACTTCTGCGCTGCTGCCTGCAGAGGTAGGCCCTCAGTCAGCAGCCGCCACTCTCCAGCCACTCAGCTCTGAAGACAGCAGCGCAGAAGTAAGGTGGCATGGTATGGCATTGCCACTCTTACTTATGTGCTGCGCTGGCGGGGGCGCTGCCGTCAGAGCAGGGCACCCAGTTGATAGCCATCACTTTCCGGCCACCCAGCTCTGAAGGCAGTGCAGAAGTAACGGTGGCAATACCACGATCCCCCACTAAAATAACCTTTTGACCGCCCTGTAACTCCCTTTTGGGTCAGGACCCCCAATTTGAGAAACTCTAGTCTCCCCCATGCAATTGGTATAGTATCGGGTAAAAGCACACAAAGACCAGATTTCATAGTCCATTACACATTTTTCATGGCTGTGAATTTGGTAGAGCCTTACCTATATGACTGAATATCTACAAGAACTCTGCAAATCTGCTCCTTTAATTTTTTTTTTTTTTTTAAACCACATTATTTTTCTTCTGAAAAACTATGACTTTATGACCCTGTTCCCTGATTTTGCTTTGGGACAGACAAAAACATGGAATCCATTTTTAGAGTAATTTTTCCAGATGATGAAATCTCACTTAAAATGTCTGAATTAAATGAATTACAAGGTCAGAAAAGTCACACATGCTTGTGGACAATGTGAATGAGACAGTTTGTGCAGACGTGAGCTAAAAAGAGCTGATTCTGTGAGTGCCACTCAACCATCAGAAAGCTCAACTGAAAACCTTTGGCCTGATTTTCAGAGCTGCTGATCATCAAGTGAAAGCCTGGCAACCAGTTTTTAATCCAACCACTTCAGAAAAATCCTTGTAAACCTATTCACCCGGAATGTCTTATAGAACAATCCTAGTGACCTCCCATCTGGTGGGCACAGAGCCATTTGTAGCAGCCTATTACAGCTCCCAGACCACCTCACCTTACAGCCAGCCAGCAGAAACACCAGAACTCTGAGCAAGTATTGTTCTGCAACTCTTTTACCCCAAAGTACCCAGGCTAATCAAAATCTGCCAAGAACACTGGGTCCCAGTGGCCCCCACACATCACTGGGATGAGCAATCACCTGGGACAGCCTACAAGAACAGTAATACGTCTATCAAGTGTAATGAGCTATGAGATGGCCTCTACTAGTGCAAGTGTGAATAAGTAAAAAGTTTCATTTGTTTCCCACAAAGGGGCATAAAATGTAGTGTGCCTACTATTAGTTTAGAAGCCATAAAGAATATAGAAGATGTTAGCTAAAAAGGACAAAATTTATGAGTGAACAGGACAGAGAGAGAGAGAGGGGAATAAAAAGTTTTTCTTCCAACTCAATTTACAATTCCTATTTCTGACACCAAAGCATCATGGATTTTTTTTTTTATTTTTAAAGGGGAGGCTGGGAGGGACAAGAATAAGGCAGGATCCTTCATACAAGGCAAGGGACTCTGTATAATGTGTTGGAAATTTAAGAAGTTTCAGAACAGAAACTATTCTGTGAATAAAGCAGTTATACTGGAAAGAGTATGTGTAATTCAGCACACTGGAAACAGCTGGCTAACAAAAACATTCCAGTACTTCAGAAGCGCTTTACCCCTTAACTAAACAAATGGAACATCATGACCAGCTCTTCTCCCTTCACTCCCTAAAAAGTTACCTCTTCACAACCCCAGCATGCAGCTCCACCTCCTCTCCTCTGCCATGTGTCACAGCTGCAGCTTCTGTGTGACAGTAGGCCAGTCACCACTCAGGGTCCTCTCACTTAGTTGGCTCTCCCTTTACCACAAATCTCACCTCTCCACTACTGGTCCTACCTACTTCCAAGTCTTTCCCATGATTCTCCCGGAAGCCATCCTCTGCCCAGTTTCCATTACTTGCTTAAAACTCCCCCACAGTCGCCACAGATTTCCCCTTTTTGCATAAAAAATTAGAGGCAAAAGGTTAATAGGACAATAAGGAAGTACTCAAGACAAACATATTTGTTCTGCAGCCCACAAAGGTGAGCTACACTAATATCATAAAACTGCAACCTACTCTTTTCCAGATGCAAAAACAGTTTTGGCATTGAAGCAGGCGTATCGAGATGCCGCCGTTTAGGTTGTGGAGATGCACTACTTTCTGACAACCTGTCACAGTTCGATGTATGACGTGTAGAACGCCTCAGAGACTGTAGCATTTCAGGCTCAGCTTTTCGCCTCTTGGGTGTTGCTGGCTCTCCTGTTGTAGGCTGACTGTCTGTGGATTGAGGAGTTGGTGGATTCAGCAGAGGTGGACTCGGGGATAGCTCCTCCTGATTTCTAGGAAATGAGGAGAAAGCCTCTCATATAATTATAAAAGAGAACAGCTTTCCAGATTTTAAAAAAAAAAAAAAAATATATATATATGTCTTCATGGATCTAGCTAAATAATTGTTCAAAATTAGGGTTGAAGTCTCCTTTTGAAAACTGGGGGACAAGTGGCTTATTATTTAAAAAGCTGCAATCCCCAAAGAGAAGTATTTATTTTTCAAATGTTGAAGCCCTTTACACCAATTAAACAGAAATGTAAATCTTACTTTATTCCCAAAATTTCAGTTTCCTTCTATACCACTTAGTTCTACCTTAATTTCTTTCAAAGGTAGAGTTAACCTTCTGGTTGCAACAAAAATTCCAAACCAGAACAAAAAAAAGCCCACAAAAACAATTGTTGGAAGAAAGAGTTCAAGATTTTATAAAAGCAATTTTGAAATACAAAAGCAACATGTTATGATTATTCACCCTATTTCAAAATGTATTTCAGTGCTCAACAAAATCTGTTTGCTGTATCATGAGGAAAGTGACACAATTCAGAGTCTATCCAACTTACCTGTTAGTGTTTGCTGTATTTTCTTTGATTGGAAGAAAGAATTTGGATGAAGTCACCTTCTTAAACTGTGCTTGCTCATAGGGATAGAGCAAGATCAATGGAAGAATGAAGTCAAAGGTTATCCTCAGTCCATCCACCATTTCTTTACACAACTCAACACTAGAGAAAAGATTGAAAAGGAGGGAGAAAAGGATTCAGTTCTAGGTTATGCACCCTGAAGTTGCATGTTATTAAGATTTCATGATGTAATTATAGGAAATCCCCTTTAAAAACAGACCATGAAGAGACTCAACTACTATACGTGCCAAAATTCAATCTATTTTGTCACAAAGGCAAAAGTGACATCTCAATTTTAAAGTTTAAAACCAACAATTGTTGCTGATAAGTTAAAATACAAACTAACTTTAGTCAGCATTTCCTGAAACAGAGCACAATACCACCAGAGAGGACTCTGCCTCAGCAATTATACACTGCACATGGGGTTGGGTGGGATTTCAGCAATGCTCGGCAATGGCTTAACTGTTCTCACTGAAGTCAATGGGAGTTTTACCATTGAGTTCAATGAGAAGAGAATTATGACAGCAGTCAGTCCTTTTGAAAATCCCATTCAGTTTAAAGATTATGTTTGTGACCAAGCAGAGTAGTAAACAAAATAACTCCATAAGAAACAAGATTACATGCTTGCCAGATGAAAAGAAAAACTATTTCGTAATTACTTTCAAAGTTCCTGCTGCAAGCTCTCTCTATAGTCCGTACAGAATAGTGTTTGTGTCATAAAACCCCCACTGTGGAAAAAAATTCACCGATTTTTACCTCTGCTTAAAAAGATCTCTTATAAATACTCGAGAGACAGCTATAGAAGAGGTTTCAGAGTAGCATCCGTGTTAGTCTGTATCCGCAAAAAGAAAAGGAGTACTTGTGGCACCTTAGAGACTAACCAATTTATTTGTGCGTAAGCTTTCGTGAGCTACAGCTCACTTCATCGGATGCATGTAGTGGAAAATACAGTGAGGAGATTTATAAACATAGAGAACATGAAACAATGGGTGTTACCATACACACTGTAAAGAGAGTGATCACTTAAGGTGAGCTATTACCAGCAGGAGAGCAGGGGGAGGGGCGGGGGGGACCTTTTGTAGTGATAATCAAGGTGGGCCATTTCCAGAAGTTGACAAGAATGTCTGTGGAACAGTGCGGGGTGGGGAATAAACATGGGGAAATAGTTTTACTTTGTGTAATGACCCATCCATTCCCAGTCTTTATTCAAGCCTAAGTTAATTGTATCCAGTTTGCAAATTAATTCCAATTCAGCAGTCTCTCGTTGGAGTCTGTTTTTGAAGTTTTTTTTGTTGAAGAACTGCAACTTTTAGGTCTGTAATCGAGTGACCCGAGAGATTGAAGTGTTCTCCATCTGGTTTTTGAATGTTATAATTCTTGACGTCTGATTTGTGTCCATTTATTCTTTTACGTAGAGACTGCCATGTACATTGGTCAAACTGGACAGAGGGGCATTGCTGGCACATGATGGCATATATCACACTGGTAGATGTGCTGGTGAACAAGCCTCCGATAGTGTGGCTGATGTGATTAGGCCCTATGAGGGTGTCCCCTGAATAGATATATGGACACAGTTGGCAACGGGCTTTGTTGCAAGGATAGGTTCCTGGGTTAGTGGTTCTGTTGTGTGGTGTGTGGTTGCTGGTGAGTATTTGCTTCAGGTTGGGGGGCTGTCTGTAAGCAAGGACTGGCCTGTCTCCCAAGATCTGTATAGAAGAGTTACACAATCATGTTGATTGAGTGGCAGGGAAAATTACATTAAAATTATTTACTTTAGTATGGTAGAAGTTCTTGAGAAAGTTAAATCAGGAGAGCAAAGGGTTTTTGGTATGAGAGAAAGAAGAAATTAACAACTACTGAGTCCAGAGCTGTTTATTTTTTATTTTTATTTTTTTTTAATACACTGTCATGAATGACCATTCCACTTTACAGGCATTAATAAAGACAATGAATATTTTTATATTGAGGGCTATAACTTGTTCAGGAAGGACAAGCAGGGTAAAAACAGAGGAGGTGTTGCATTATATAACAATATACACGCTTGTTCTGAAGTCCAGAAGGAGGTGGGAGACAGACTAGGTAAGAGAGTCTCTGGGTAAAGATAAAAAGGTTAAAAAAATAGGACTGACATGATGGTGGGGTCTACTACAAACCACCAAATCAGGAAGAGGAGGTGCGTGAGGCATTTCTAGAACATATAAAAGAAGCATCCAAAAGCTGGTAGTATTGGGGGACTTTAACTACCTAGACATCTGTTGAAAAAGTAATATAGCAAAACATAACATTTCCAATAAGTTCTTAGAATGCATTGGGGATAACTTTTTGTTTCAGAAAGTAGAGGAAGTAACCAAGGGGACAGTCATTTTAGACTTGATTTTGACCGATAGGGAGAAATTGATAGCAAATGTGAAGGGGGAAGGCAATGTGGATGACAGTGACCCTGAAATGACAGATTTCATGAGTCTAAGGAAAGAAATGAATGAAAGAAGCAGAATAAGGACAATAGACTTCAAAATAGCAGACTAACAAACTCAGAGAACTGGTAGGTAAAGGTCCTATAGGAAGAAAATCCAAGGGAAAAAATGAGTTCAGAAAAGCTGGCAGTTTCTCAAGGAGACAATATTCAAGTCATAACTGCAAACTATCCTGTTGTAAAGGACAGATAGGAAAAATTGTAAGAGGCCAATACAGCTCCATTAGGAGCCCCTTAATGACCTGAAAATTTAAATGGAATCCGACAAGAAGTGGAAACGTGTACAGATTACTATGGAGAAATACAACAGAATAGCACAAGTGTATAGGAACAAAATCAAAAAGGCTAAGGCACATAATGAGTTACACTTAGCAAGAGACCTAAAATGCAGTAAGAAAAGGTTATTTAAATACATTTGGACCAAGAGAAAGAGAAAGGAAAGTGTAGGTCCTCTACTTAGCAGGGAAGGAGAGCCAATAACAGATGACATCAAGAAAAGTGAGGTATTTAATGCCTATTTTGCTTCAATCTTCATTACAAATGTTAATGGTGATAGTCACTCAACACAAGTAATATCACCAATAAGGGGGAAGGAATGCAAGCCAAAATAGGGAAAGAACAGCTTAAAGATTATTTAACAAAGTTAGATGTATTCAAGTCAGCAAAGCCTGATGAGATTCATCCGAGTGTACTTAAGGAACTAGCTGAAGCAATCTTGAACCTGTTAGCAATTATCTTTGATAACTCATGGAAGACAGGTGAGGTCCCAGAAGCCTGGAGAAGGGTAAACATAGCACCTCTATCTTTAAGAATAGGAACAAAGAGAACCTGGGGAATTACAGAACAGTCAGCCTAACTTTGATACCTAGACAGATACTGAAACAAATTATTAAAACAATTTGTGAGCACTCTGATGATCATAGGATTATAAAGAATAGCCAGCATGGATTTGACAAGAACAAATCATGCCAAACTAACCTAATTTACTTCCTCAACGGGGTTACTGGCCTAGCAGAAAGGGGAAGAGTCATAAACATGATATATCCTTATTTTAGTAAGGCGTTTGACACAGTCCCACATTAGTCTCAGAAGTAAATGAGGTCTATATGAAATTACTATAAGGTAGGTGCACAACTGGTTGAAAGACTGTACTCAGAGTAGTTATCAATGGTTCACTGTCAAACTGGGAGGGCATATCTATTAGGGACTCAAAAGGGGACTTGATAACAGTCTTCAAATATGTTAAGGGCTGTTATAAAAAAGGACAATGATTAATTGTACTCTATACATATGCAGCAAAGGTAGTACACTAGAAATGGGCTTAATTTGCAGCAAGGAAGATTTAGCTTTGATATATGGATAGTTAAGCTCTGGAATAGGCTTCCATGGGAGACTGGAATTCCCATCATTGAAGGTTTATAAAGACAGGTTGGACAAACATTTGTCACGAATAATCTAGGTTTACTTGGTCCTGCCACAGCATATAGGGAGCTGGCCTTTGATTTCTCAAGGTCCCTTCCAGCCTCCCTACATTTCTGTGCTGCTAAGGGGTTAGGAATCAAACGTGAGTTCTATTCCTAGCCATGCCAACAATTTTTCTGAGACACTGTGGGCAAGTGTCTTTACCTCTGTGCATTAATTTCCCGCTACGCATCCATTTACCCTTCTCCATCTACAAAATAGGGCAACTCTTATCTCACATGGGCGCTGTTAATATGGGTGAAAAGCTGGGGACACCCCCATTAATAAAACACAAAAGGAAATACCTGTAAATTCACATAAACAGACCACAGAATGGTGTGCAAAAGTATGGGAGAGAAAGGACAAAGGAATACAGCTTTTGGGAAAGCATTGTTTTTCAAAGAGACAGACCATTTCATTATTTAGTTGACTCTTTGTGAACAGTGACGAGGATGAAATTTCTCTAATTTAGGTGGCAGATAATCCCTTGACCTTAATTTGCTTCTAAGTGACAAAGAGTCCTGGAATTGTTGCTTTGAAGTTACCACTTACAGCAGTGGTGGGCAACCTGTGGCCCACCAGGGTAATCTGATTGCAGGCCGTGAGACATTTTGCTGACATTGACTGTCCGCAGGCAAGGCCCCCTGCAGCTCCCAGTTCATGGCCAATGAGAGTTGTGGGAAGTGCCGGGCCACAGGGACGTACTGGCTCACCACTTCCCATTGGCTGTAATTTGTTTTATTTTAATCAACATTTAAAAATCTAATAGATTTTTAGCTTTTTTATAGTCTCAATTAGTACACATACACTAGTTTAAATTAATAAAAAAGTCATTAAGTTCTCTATTCCTATTTCTGATGTCTCATGATAAGCATTAGTTTGGGATATTGTAATGCAAAAAGAACCTAAGTATTATTATCCTGTCAAAATAGTGAATAATACATCATAGTACAAACTGAGGCACTGCAGGGAATAAGACAATTCTGAATCGCTGAAACAGAATGTGACAAGACAAATTAAAGTTTAATCCTTTAAAAAAAAAAAAAAAAAAGAAAAAGAAAAGATTCCACCCCAATGTTAACCTGAAATAGGACAGTCCATCCATTTAGACTGTTAACTCCTCTTAAAAGTAACTCCTGAGCAGAAGGAGTATGTATGGATGGTTTTATCACTACACACATATCTTCACTGCATAGTGATGCTTGAGATCAAGAGCATTCGGCAGCCTAATCACACAAGAAAGTGACTTGCCTGTAACTGGTGTCCTCTGAAGGCATTTTGTGATACACCTGGACTTTTGGAGTTTGTGCTACTATAACCTGACAAGCTCAAAGTTTAACTTTACTTTAGCAGGGGGTGTCTCACACCAGCCTCTGTAGTGGAAGATAGGTACCTCTTAGAGCTCAAAATTCGATTCCTGTCATGCAAAGGTGAAAATGTCCCATATATACAGAAATTCTTAACAAAAAATGGCTAAAATAGAAGCCTCGACTTATGTGACAGAAGGAGAGAGTGACGCTTTATTGTAATGCAAGTGTAGAATAAATATGAAATTAAAGAATTAGTTATCTTAAATTCAGTTAAGGAAATATATGTGTTGTAAAGAAAGGCCCTAACTGGCAAGCAGAAAGAAGGTCTTGAAAGTAATAATCTACGGCCAAAACAAATTAACTAGGGAGGATGTTGGCTCAAAGAATAACTAATAAGGTAGGTGAAGTCTCTAAGAAGGGGGCCTCTGACCAAAAGAGGTAACTGAAGATAGTTTTAAATAAGAGAATCTGTCCAAAAAGGAGCCAGGATGGAGCTTCCCATCCCACATACCAGTATTATTTTAAAAAGTAACGCCCCATGTGAACTCAGGGGCAACAAAAAAAGCTATTAAGACAGCAAGAATGATGAGGCCTTGGGGAAAAAGGAGGTTGTAAATCTTGTCTGAATTAAGACTGTAAATAAGAGTGAATGGTCTCACATTGTTTGGTAGCTAAAGTAGTAATAGCTATGACATCATTTGTTTGTTGAAGGGTATAAAAAGAGTTACGAATCTGAAGGTTCTTTGTCAGACCCTATCTGATCATGCTGGAGAACGCCAGGATGAGAAGGCCAAATTAGGGGAAACTATTCTTAAATATACTGATCACATGCTTATGAATGCGTTGTTGCTGTATTGGGTGTAGTGACCGCTCATTCGTTGGGCTGTTAGGCATGTTTAGAGCAATTGTATAAAATACCATTTGGCCTTTAGACTTCATAAAGGAATTTATGGTTAAATTAGTATTGTGGTAATATTCCTGTATTATTATTAGCAATTCCAACATCACCTCTTTGGATAATAGTAATTTTCTCATCTCTAAACATAAAGTTGTCCTGATATTGTTGTGCTGTCTTACACATCGGGGTATCAGTCCACGGTATATGGATGGGCACAATAAGAACACATCATCTAAAACCTGGGCTTGAAATTCAAACCTACACTTCCTCTACACCCAAACAAACGGTAGACATTACTTACTTCTTTTCTGGTGGGACGTAATGAAGGTTCATGTTGACATGTGAAGTCATTTGATGGTGCCGAGATCTTTCATTAGCTGAAAATGCTGCATTTATGGCAAAATGCTTCACATACGACTCCAAGATAGTTATTATATTTCTCTGACAAGGCAGTTTCACTAGCTGAAGAGACAATTTGATGACTGTCAAATAATACAATTAAGGATTTAAGCAATGAGCCACAACATTAATTTTTGACCCACAGGCTAGCCTAACTAACTAGTCTATTTTATATATATTTATTTCAAATTTGCTCCTTAAATTATACTTTTGCTCAATCCCTTGTGTGTCCAGTTTTGGGGAACATATAAATATGATAGCAGAAGGGGATTAGCTCAGTGTTGTATTCCAAGTTTCTTAAAACAAAACCAGATATAGATGTGAACCCCAATTTTACAGATTAATATATTGGTAATTCAGAACTCTAGTCATTTAGAAGCCTTATCCCCTGAAATCTTAGAAGTTTTGCTATAAAGGCAAGTTAGCTCTACATGCAAGTGCGACTTTTGACTGCCTTCAGGAATTTTTTTATATACTCTCCCTCATTTAACCAATCATACCCGTTTTCTCCTGTTAATATAATAACAGTCTTCTTCAAGCTTTTTTTTCAAAACTTCAGGAATTTCTATGCTTATTGCTCTTTCTTCCATATCCCTTTTAGTGTGAATCTCTTGTTCTTCTTTCTGCAACAGCACAAATCAAGGTAAGAAAAAATGGTTAGTGTTACTAGTTAATTACTGTAGTATGTTAGGCAAAACTCGATCAAATATTAAAATTTCTGCTAAACAGAAACTGAATCTAACTACTTGTATGATAAAATACATGTAAGAGTATAGTTTCTGAATGTAGATGGACAGTACACAGTGTAGTTTCTTTCCAGTAATACCTTCAATGTATTTAAAAAAGTCCTGTTTTAAAAATTCTATTCGTTTTTTCACTGGTTTTCCTGTTTGCTTTTTGCTCCCTCACATTACAATTTAATAATAATCAAATCAATTGGGTCACTTTTTCCATTTGTTTTTAAACAGTTTCACTTTCAAATGATCTCTCCTGCAGTGTTTAGATTATAAACAGCTTTCATGCACCTGTTTCCACTGACTTTTTGTACAGTGGAAATATTTCTACTGGTCTTAGATTCTTACAAATAGGTCTAAATTTTAAACTAATTTGAGTTGGCAGACCCTCTTTAAAGACACTGTGTATATCAGCCATTAAAATCCTGATGACATTAGAATCTGCTTCACCTGCAGAGACTAGTAACATTTTACAAGAACTATAAATCTGGGTAGTGCTGTGTGCTGGCAGACCTTAAGAGTGGAAATAGAATGAGAAGAACAAGTCTAATTTAAATACATTTTATATTGAGATCAATGCCATCTAAGGGAGTAAAACATCTTCTATGGGTTTGAATAACTCTACCACAATAAGACCTCTATTAAGAGGTCAACAATCATGAGTTCTAGTCCTGGCCCTATAACTACATGCTGCATGGCCTTGAGCAATGAATTCACTTAACTGGGAAAATTGAGACAGGTTCAACCATGTAAAGTATTAAGTATTATTAAAATTAAGGGAGCTCATAGGAATATACCATGTCTGTCCTCTCTTCAATGTCACTTTCTTCACTTTTTATTTCTTCATCTGTTCCTTCATCACTGTCATCAGAAGAACTACTTATAGCTGTTTAAGAGAGAAATGAGTTATTTTTGATATTTCACAAATTTATTCTGCATATCGCATTGGACATAGATTCATATCCAACAATTTTTCACTTTGTAACATTTAATTCAAGGCTGTTTGGTTTGTTGTTTTTTGTAATGAGGTATAAACTAGAAATGCTGAAGAAATATTTTAAGTATTTTAGCATGCAATAGTTAGGAAGCTCAAAACAAACAATGCTCATATATCAACTTTAATTCATGAACATTCACCAGTATATGCAAATTCACAAAATTTTTCAACAACCAGTAGCTCTTTTTAATTTTCACTGGACTCTAGTTGTAAGCAAAAGGTTAGCGTATTCAGCTTAAAAAGGCAAAAAGAAGAAAAAGCTTTTAAATAAATATCACATGATATGCCCAAATGCAAGTTGTGAGCAAATTATACCAAATGTTGAAATGAAAAAGTGGTAAATACTAATGGTGTAAAGATGTCTGAATCAGAGGAATGACAATGGTCAGCACACTAATGAAGTGTTGACACTGCAAAACAATACAAACAGACCTTAAAGTTACTAGAAAAATGCCCTTGGATCGATGGCTGATAGAAGAAAGAGGCCAGGAACAACCACCACCAGCATGCTGGAGGCAAGAAACAGATCTCTTTACCATGCAGGTAGGGAAAAATCCTGTTGCCCAAAAGATCAGGACAAGCCAAAACGGTAACTGAGCAGGCATCAGAGTCCTTGGGGGAGGCTGGGGCCAGACAGAGCAACCCTTTGATCTGAGAGTAGTGTAGAGGCCAGATTTTTAAAGATATTTAAGTGTTGCTGTTCTCAGCATTGCAACAACTACATGCCTAAAATCCCCTTTTGAATATGATATTTAAGCTCCTAAATCAGTTAGGTGTTGACACGGTGAGAGCAGCAACACCAAAATAGCTTTAAAAATCTGGGCCAGAGAGTGCCCAGAAGAGCTGAATGAGGGTAAAGCAAAGAGTATTGTCTGCCTCAAGGGTAGGGAGAGGAGAAGGATATCTTGGTGTAACATCTGCTCATTTTTTATACAAAACATATTAATATACTTCATATAGTTATATTAACATTCTAGCCAGTGCTATTACATGCATATAACACCAAACCCAGTAGCAACTCAGACTGCTGAATTTGCACAGTTACAGTAAAACTTGTTTTATGAATGAATGGAGGATGGAGTTCATAAAACTGAGTATCTCAATTTACAGTAGATAAAGGATATGTTGCAGGATGGTGCCGTGCATCGTTTTCTTCTTGTCCTTCAAATCAGTGCAAAGTGATTACCAACACAATGAAGGCATCAGAATGTGAAGGGATGTCAACTTGTTCATCATCAACATTGCTTTCGTTATGTGTCCCCCCCCCCGACCTACTCAGGAAAAATTGTTCATATAACTGGTTGTTCATAAGATTGGAGTTTGTAAAATTGAGATGCCACAGTAGTTTAATAAGTTAACAATTTTGTAAATAGCACAATGCAAGTGTAGTCATCAAATCAAAGAGAAGACAACTTACAATTTTCACTACTCTCATCATTTTCCTCAGCAGGAAGGCTTTTTAACACAGAGTCAACACCAGGCAATCGACAACATCTCTTCTTCCTTCCCTTTCTTCTCCTAAAGAAGAATTTGAGTGAATTGTTCAATCTGTCATTACTCCACTTATTTACTACTGCTGTCAAAGCATAAGAAGCAGTGCTATATGCAAAAGCAAGAATAAAATATGCATAGGCAATGAATGTTTGTGATTGTATTTATTATTTCAAAAATAATTTACTTGAGGGACAATATTTGGACACATCAATGTTTTTTACACTTTACTATACTCCCGCCACCCTGTTCTTCTCTGCAGCCCTAAAAGGCTAGCAAGTATTACAGACAGATATTTGTTTTTGGGGAAAGAGTCCTGCTTCAAGTCTCCCCAATGTACTTGTCAGTGATGTTTCTTCAGAAGGATGTGGATCCAGTACATAGGAATTTTATAACAAGTCTTAACTATATACCAGTTTTTAAAGAGATTTTGAATGAAAGCCATATGAAGTCAAGAGATAAACATATTCCTTACATGCGAGCTACAGCTTTTCTTGCCAATTTACGTTGTAATCTGCGGTTTTCGTCTGTATCACGAAGAACATGATCTTCAGCTGCCCATCTATCCCAGCTAAATATAGGGCAAAAGAAAAAAATGTTAATAAATAGAAACTGACTTTACCAATAAATACTGAATGACAAATGTAGATTTACAGTCATCTACAAAGTAAAATTTTAGTGCTCTTTAGAAACAAAATCTGGAATTAAGTGGTACTATGATGTAGACTTGCATCTTTTTGCACCACCCTTTGGCTTTATTTTTCCTTAAAAAAAATAAATAAATAAAATACACTTTTTCCTTAACTTTACAAGTTGAAGTACCTGAAGCAATAAGATAATGTTAAGGAACGTCAGGTCAACATTAGAATGTTTCCAAACTTCACCATCAAGCAACTCAGATTATGACAGAGATACAGTCTGAGTTTCCACCGACACAGAGGCCATAAACCAGTATATCAACATAAATGAATTAGTCCCATAAAAAGCATTTATTAAAGGTATTCACAAAATAAAGATTACTGAAGTCCTCCTTTTTCATAATAGTATTACTATACCTTCATAGGAAGAAATAATCTTTATGTTGAAATGTTCCCAATTAATATAAAATTGTTGAAGAGAAGCATGCAATAAAACCCAACTTTGTTTTCAGGTTCGAGCCTCTAGATCAGCTCCAGAACATTTATTTAGCAGAGGACTACTAGATGACATTTTGAATGATAAAACCAAAATTTAAAAGGAAAATGATTAGTTAAGCAAACAGGCATGCCATTAACATTTACACAATACTACAATTATAATTACACTCAAATTATCAATGGGTAATCAGTGCAACAACAGAGAGAAATACAGCCTTATAATCCTGGAACCTAACAGTACCCTTTTTATGTTAATTGGAGATCTCCTGAAATTTAGCAAGGCTACTCCTTTTATATTCAATTATAATACTAAGTAACTTTAAACTGCCCTTTTCCATAATTATATTCCCACTACCTTCTTACTGGCACTTTATATTACGCATAATTTAAATTAACATCTGTGTCAACATCTTTCCCACACTACCAATATAGATAGCATTTTAATAAACCATTCACAACTTTTAAAAGTACTCATTAAAAACCTTGCTCAAACCAGTTATAACCAAAAACATAATGGTAACATAACACTGGGCCATGTCCTTCCTAACTCTTACTTTCCGATAACTAAGGTCCTACCAAATTCAAAATTCCCTTTGGTCAATTTCATGCCTGCAGGGTCTTAAGGTTGGTCAATTTCACAATTTCAGATGTTTGCATTTGAAATTTCACTATGTTGTAACCCTGGGGGCCCTGATCCAAAAGGGGATCGGGGGGGCCAAAGCTGTTGTAGGGGGATTGCAGGATTGCCATACTCACTTCTGTGTCGCCTTCAGAGCCCATGTCCTGTCCCTCCCCAGCCCAGCTGATTTTGGGGAGATCACATTCCACAGGAAGGGCTTATTTCACAGTCTGTGACGTGTTTTTCACAGACGTGAAACTGGTAGGGCCCTACCCATAACACTATTTCCAACTTTCTTACACTAGCAACTTCCATGTCCCATACTCCTCTACCCTTAGGCTAATTTAGGCCCAAAACCTAACTTCTACTTATCTCTTACCCTACACCATCCTGTAGGCTACAGCATGCCATTGAAAAGATTTTGTAAATACAAAAACTTTTTAAATAAAATGGTGCACTGTATAGTCTCACCTTCTGTTCCAACCATTAAAATGGATCAGATATTCTGGAATCTTTCTGCCCTTCTCATCTTTTCCAACAACAATATCAACAATCTGAAAAAGAAAACAAAGCATGTGGCCTAATACAAAGATTACAGTGCACTTTCTATAGAAATGAGTGTTTAGAGAATGGGTTTGTGGGTGCAAGAAAGGAATGTATACTTATGAGTAAATGGAAACCTAATGAACTGCCTTTGAACACCCATACTGTAGGAAATCATGCACCTTCTCCTAAGCCCATGGAACTACTACGAACTGCAAAGATGTTAGAAAATGTTTGTGTACCGATCTGAGATCTAAATATTGAAGAGACTACTATTAGGTCCTGCCCTGTCCTCATTTCCTATCCATCCCAAAAAGTGCTCCAAAGAAGAGGGATGGAACAATGTGGATTTGCAGAGGTATCACATTTGGACAAGTAGCCTTCTATCTCCTTTATGAGTTGCTTCTGCAGACCCTCAATACAGGAAACTAACCAGTAACATCATGATACAGAAGGAATACCAAATGCTTAGTTAAAACTATTGAACACTCTTCTTGTTAACAGCATGTAGGGCCTAACGCAGAGGTGAAAGTAAGCCGGCACAGCATACCAGCAAGAGCCGGTACGCTGTGCCGGACCAACTTCCCCAAGATGGCCATTTAAAGGGCCCGGGGCTCCCTGCAGCAGCGGAGCTCCGGGTCCTTTAAATCGCTGCCTGAGCCTGGCTGCCGGAGCCCCAGGGTAGCAGTGGCAGGGCTCCGGCGGTGATTTAAAGGGCCCAGGGTTCCCCACAGTGGCCAGGGCCCCGGGCCTTTAAATCACCGCTGGAGCCCTGCCACCGCTACCCTGGGGCTCTGGCAGCGATTTAAAGGGCCTGGAGCTCTGCTGTGGTAGCTGGAGCCCCGGGCCCTTTAAATCCCAGCCTCTGCAGCTGGGAGCTCTGGGGGTGATTTAAAGGCCCCGGGGTCTCCCAGCTGCAGCCAGAGCCCCGGGCCTTTAAATCTTTAAAGGCCCCGCCTCTTCTGGTTGAGGCCACGCCCCCACTCAGGACTCCGGCGTACCATTAAGTCCTTTAAATTACTTTCACCCCTGGCCAAACTGCAGAATTAAGAGAACAATTATTTGCGAATGTCTGAACTGAACTCCAAGTAAGATAGCACAACAGATTTTGAGAATAGCTAATACTGCCAGCTGCTCACAGAGCGTGTTTTTATTCCATCTAGTACAACAAGTCCACCTACTCATATAAACAGACTTGAATTCAAAGTACTTTCACTTTGATATCTCCCAAAAAACTAAACAACAATCTAGAAGATTGAAGGATAGCCTTAATCTTGCCAAATAACTTAAAATCTAGTCTGGACAACTGTGCCACACATAAGACTTAAATACGCACTCAACATACACACCACGCATATCAGGAGTGTTATATAGTGCCTCTTAGGAAAATCCCTTTAGAAACCTCATCTCTTCCACAATGCTCACAAAAATCGAGTCAATCATATTAACTAGAGATGGCCTGAAATTTTCCGTTGGGGGATTTGGCACAAAATGCAGCTTCCACAATTTCAACGTTACTGATTTTTTTTTTTTTCTATTTTCCACTGGAAAATAGAAACTAAATAGTCAAGTTCCTTGAAATATTTCGGTTTGCGGAACTGAAACGAAACATTTTTTTTTTTAGGTCACATTAATTTGTATCCACCTGTGCTGTTGCAATGCCTCCTGTAGTTCAGATGCTTCACTCTCTTGCAGGGGCCCGGCTCCCTCTCTCACACCTATAACACCTCCCGTAAGGCACTGCAGTCTTCTCACCAGTTGAATCAATGCACTCCATCGCAGGAGTTGTGATCCAGCTAAGGAGCCAGGACCGCAGAAGAGAAGGGATCTTTTTGTTTTTCTAGATCTTTTGCAAACACATTTGGGGGCATTAACAAAATAAGACGCAACTCTGCAACACCCATTTTAAGGGGCTCCTACAGGCAACTCTCTCTGTGGAACACGAAAGGGAGCAGGTCAGCAATACACGCCTGGATGTTCTTATAGCAACTAAAAGGGCAGACTTCAAAGAGAGAAACTGCTAAGTCCTTTTTTCAGAGTAACAGCCGTGTTAGTCTGTATTCGCAAAAAGAAAAGGAGGACTTGTGGCACCTTAGAGACTAACCAATTTATTTGAGCATGAGCTTTCGTGAGCTACAGCTCACTTCATCGGATGCATACCGTGGAAACTGCAGCAGACTTTATATATACACAGAGAATATGAAACAATACCTCCTCCCACCCCACTGTCCTGCTAGTAATAGCTTATCTAAAGTGATCATCAGGTGGGTCACTTCCAGCACAAATCCAGGTTTTCTCACCCTCCACCCCCCCACACAAATTCACTCTCCTGCTGGTGCTAGCCCATCCTTGATCACAGAAAACTGGACTTAGAAATTTCAGACTATCCTTTGGGTGTGATGAAAAAAAAAATCAAAGTTGCTGAAATCCCTGAAACTGGAAAGACAACCATCTGCACCATTACACAGCCTGAGTTAAGATTTAATTTAAAGGGTGTTTCACTGTTATTTAGTGAACACCCAAAACCAATATTACATTTCTTTTTCTAAAAGCTCTACACGTTTTTAAAAAGTCCGAATGCCCAGAAATTAACCACTTAGCCAACACTATGTAATTCATCACACACTGCCACTTTGCCCGCTCCGCTTCTGCTTCGTCCAACGGTACCTTTGACTTGAAGTCCCAATTTAATAGGCTTTTACCGGGGAGGGCTCCCTCACGGTACTGTGCCTATTAAAGGCGCACAGGACTGAACTCCACAGGGGAGCCTATTTGGCAGGTGCACACGGAATCGAGGGTGGGCATGTGTCTGGCCCAGCCCCGTTCACACCGCTCCTGTCTCTAGGACATGCAGAGCCCTGCTCCGATGACTGGCAGCCCACACACAGCGGCCACCGCCTCCCACGCCGAGCACAAAGCCGCCGGGGGAACCAAGCCAGGGGCACGGCCCGGAGCGGGCGCAGCGCTTCGCTGGCGGCCTCAGGCCCGGAGGCTCCCAGGTGCCGCGGCGCCTGACCCCGACTGAGGCCCAGGGGAACTGGGCGCCCGCACGCCCCCGAGGCTCCGGACCGGGGCCGCGGACTCCCGCGCGGGATGCAGGCGGGGAACGGGCCCCAGCAGGACGCGGGGCTGGGCGCGGCGGCTGCCCCCTGGCGGGGTCGGGCCGCGGCAGCCGCCGCCAAGCCCCGGTGTGAGGCTGCGCCAGGGGCGGGGCGGACGCGAAAGCGGAGCCTGCCCGGCCTGAGGAGGCGGCGGCGGCAGCGTCCGAGGCGCCCGGCTGGAGAGGGCGGGGCGGGGCGGGGCGGGGCCTGTCTCTCTCCGTCACGCACACCCACACCCACCCACTCCGCGGCCGGGCGGAGCTGCCGCTTCCGCCGACTGCGGGGCCCGGCGCGAGGAGGCCGCGGCGCGGCGGGGGAGGGGAGGGGAGGGGCGGAGCTAGGGGCGCGGCGCGCGCGCGCGGCCGGTGGGTCACCTTGGCATCATAGAGCACTTGGGCCTTGGTGGGGTCGGGCTCGAAGCAGAGAACGCGCTCGCCTCGCTGGAACTTCAATCTCATTCCCCGCGCGGTCATTTGTTCGTCATGGCGAAGAGTGGAGAAAACCCCGCCCCCTGCGAGGGGTGGGGCCTGAGCTCGCCCCGCCCCCCGGGCCGGGGACCTGGATGCGGGGCGGGGATCCGCGGAGACCTCCCGGAGGAGGGAACCCCCCTCCCCCGGCCGTGGGCACGAGGGGTGGGGCCAAGGAACGGCTGTAGCTCCCCTGTGCTATGGGGCTGCATGATTGACGTGTGGTGCAAATTATTTAGGGAGCTTTTTTGCCTATAATGTGCCAATCAGCAGCCCTGGGAGGTTATGGCCCAGTTGCTCCCCTGTTCCCCCCTTCGGTCCCAGTGCCCCCTGGGCTGCCTTTCAGCCCCTGGCTCCGTCCCTGGAGTCCCCTCATAGTCTCCTGCAGATCCCCCCGCTACCTCGCTCTGCCTTTGTGGGTCTTCCCTCAAACAGTGGTCTCAGCCCTTCGTACACAAATCACCCAGCTGATCAGGAACTGGGGAAACAGGCCCTTAATCCCGCGGGGGTATAGCTGAACCTAGCTGTCCTTAAAAGGCCAGCCAGCCTGTGACGCTAGTGCTAACTTCACCGTTGTAGCGGCAGTTCTAGTCATTTTCTAGTCTAGGCAATTTAGTCATTTTCATCTGTAGTGTAAAAAATTCAAACAAATCAGCATCTAATTATCCAAATTGCACCTGTAATGTGAAGATCATAGAGGAATCCACAACCCTAAACAAAAATGAAAACAATTATGTTAAGGTAATAAATTAAAATAATAAACTTTCAAGAAATATATAATAATGGTATATGACCAAAGACAACAGTCTTACAAATAACTCCATAAAGAAAACCTGAACAAATTTAATACTGGATAAAACACCCAAACCCACAAAATTAAATTTCCAGAATTTAATGTCCATTAACTAGAGACACTGCATATAATTTACATTAAATTTAACATTTAACACTCTATCCAACAACTGAAAGTTCTACTCATGTGAAACGGGACCAAATTAATGTTATTGAAATCTTTACATTAGCATTTTATTACATGTATGTGTTCCAGTTTGCAATTTTGGAGCTTCTGCAGCACAGTCTCCCCATAACTTGCACAGTTGCACATCATGTCTTTTTACCTCAATTGATCTGATAATAACACATTGTGCTGTAAGTAGTAAGCACTTCATAAAAACCGTCATCATACATTTGCTCATTCCTTACTATGAAGCACTGTTCCCCTGTAGCACACATTTTGCTGTTAACCTCATTCTGAAAATGGCTTTTTTCCTGAAGTAGGAAAGTGCTCATATGCCAGTCAGTGATTCGTGATCTGTGTCTCAATCATTTGGAAAAATGTTTTCCCCTGCTGAGATCCCCATGGTTAGCAAGGTCAAAATCATCCGAGATACATGAAAACAAAGGTATATGTTTGTGTGCGCACAATGTGGATTGCTCAGTATATCTAATCCCTTCATGAACCTAACAAGAAATGTGGATGCCAATCCTGGCAAAGCTTCCCCCTCACTATGTGGCTAGTTTCACTCTGCACAGCATAAGCCTGAGATGAATGTTTGTCCCTCTAGATATTGCACTAAAATACCCCACAAAGAGAAAACAAATGTGTGAGGCAGTGACTTAAAGAACATATTTATAAATGAACTTGGGCTGTTAATCACAGTTAACTTACACAAGTAACTTAAAATTAATCACCATTAAAAAAAATCATGACTAATGGCAGGTTTAATCACACTGTTAAACAATAGAATACCAATTGAAATGTATTAAATATTTTGGATGTTTTTCTACATTTTCAAATATATAGTAGTCTGTGTTGTAATTGAAATCAAAGTGTATATTATTTTTTATTACAAATATTTAAAAGAAATAGTATTTTTCAACTGACCTCATACAAGTACTGTAGTGCAATCTGTTATGAAAGTGCAATTTACAAATGTAGACTTTTGTTGTTGTTACGTAACTTCACTCAAAAACAAAACAATGTAAAAGTTTAGAGCCTACAAGTCCACTCAGTCCTACTTGTTCAGTCAGACACTCAGACAAACAAGTTTGTTTACATTTACAGGAGATAATGCTGCCCGCTTCTTATTTACAATGTCACCAGAAAGTGAGAACAGGCATTTGCATGGCCCTTTTGTAGCTGGCATTGCCAGATACGCTAAACATTCATATGCCCCTTCATGCTTCAGCCACCATTCCTGAGGACATGCTTCCATGCTGATGATGCTTGTTAAAAAAATAAAGTGTTAATAAAATTTGTGACTGAACTCCTTGGGGGAGAATTGTATGTCCCTTGCTCTGTTTTACCCGCATTCTGCCATATATTTCTTGTTATAGCAGTCTCGGATGATGACCCAGCACATGTTGTTCATTTTAAGAACACTTTCACTACAGATTTAACAAAATGCAAAGAAGGTACAAATGTGAGATTTCTAAAGATAGCTACAGCACTCGACCCAAGGTTTAAGAATCTGAAGTGCCTTCCAAAATCTGAGAGGGATAAGGTGTGGAGCATGTTTTCAGAAGTCTTAAAAGAGAAACACTCAGATGCAGAAACTACAGAACCCGAACCACCAAAAAAGAAAGTCAACCTTCTGCTGGTGGCATCCGACTCAGATGATGAAAATGAACATGTGTCGATCTGCACTGCTTTGGATTGTTATCAAGCAGAACTCGTCATCAGCATGGACACATGTCCCCTAGAATGGTGGTTGATGCATGAAGGGACATGTGAATCTTTAGCACATCTGGCACGTAAATGTCTTGCAATGAGAACACCTGTTCTTACTTTCAGGTGACATTGTAAACAAGAAGCGGGCAGCATTATCTCCTTCAAATACAAACAAGTTTGTTTACCTGAACAATTGGCTGAACAAAAAGTAGGACTGAGTGGACTTGCAGGCTCTAAAGTTTTACATTGTTTTATTTTTGAATGCAGTTTTTTGTACATACTTCTAAGTTTGTAAGTTCAACTTCCATGATAAAGAGATTGCACTACTGTACTTGTATTAAGTGGATTGAAAAATACTATTTCTTTTGTTTTTTACAGTGCAAATACTCCTCTACCCTGATATAATGCGGTCTGATATAATGCGAATTCGGCTATAACGCGGTAAAGCAGCGCTCCACGGAGCAGGGCTGCTTTATCTTGTTATATCCAAATTCATGTTACCGGAAGCGGTTCCTTTGCGCTTCCCTGCTTACTTGCTATGGCCCCCCCCTGCCCCAGCTCACCTCCTCTCCGTCTTCTCCCACGACCACGCCACCGCTCTGCTTCTCCCTCTCTCGCTCCCAGGCTTGCTGCGCCAAACAGCTGATTCGCGGCAAGCCTGGGAGGGAGAGAGAAGCAAAGCAGCGGCGAATTGGGGGGGGGGCCAAGGAGGGCTGCAGCAAGTAACTGGGGGGGAGGAGGGGGGCAGAGGAACCACTCCCTGCCCCAGCTCACCTCCGCTCCACATCCTTCCCTGAGCATGCCACCACTGCTCCGCTCCGCCCCCCGCCTCCCTTCCTTCCTGGCTTCCTGCACCAAACAGTTGATTGGTGCAGCAAGCCTGGAAGGAAGGGTTGGGGAGGAGGGGAGAGAAGCAGAGCAGCAGCGGCGTGCTCAGGGGAGGAGACAGAGCGGAGGTGAGCTGGGGCAGGGAGCAGTTCCTCTCCCTACCCCAATATTATGCAGTCTCACCTATAAGGTGGTAAGATTTTTTGGTTCCCGAGGACTGCATTATATCATGAACTTAAACTTTAGAAACATAGGACAATAGCCTGGCCCCCACTTACTTCAGTAGGGCCAGAATTTCTCCCATGATGCCTAAGTTACTTGTAAATCATGTTTATTTTTCATTTAGAACTGTTCTAAACAGATGATTTGAAGCCACTCCTGAAAATAATCTCCATCTCTCCTTCCACAGCTTGTTCAATTTTTCTCCTGTTTTTTTCAAATGCAACCTTAATTATCTTTAGCCCCAATCATTTGAAGCTCCCTCTTATCTGAAAGAGTGTCTTGTCCCATGTCTTCTGTGAGTTCAATTCCCTAATTTATCTGAAACCTAGATTATCAAATGATATTTAAATAACTGATATTTAAAGAATTGAGGTTGTTCTTTGGGCCTCTGTTGATGACATTATTTACTTTTATTTTACTTTACTTCCCAGTTGAAGGGATTTCACAAATAAAATAGGACTACAAATAGGGGCGTAGCAAAGCAACAACTCACCAGTATGGCACCTCCTGCTGGTCATCCTGGAAATTAGCTCTTCCAGCCCAGAGCACCCTCTGCAGGCCACTGTCTTGCCTGTCACTGGCCCCGTGTCCCTCACAAACCCCCGTGCCTTTTACCTTGGGGTCCTGCCCCCTGCAGTACCCCCACACTCGGTCTCCCTTCCCAAGGGAACCCACAACCATCTAAACCCACCTTGCCTCACTGGCTACTGCCAGTCATCAGCTAGTCCCCGCTCACTGGAGCGGACTTCAGTCTGTAATGGCCACTCATCACTGGCAAGGGGGTGGGACCAGCTGCCTCTGCATATACCCAGGCTGCACCTCTACAGCCCCAGTATCTTTTGGCCATAAACAAGGTCTGCAGCCTGGGAGTTT